GCGTCGAACATCTCAGGAACTTGGGCACCGACGGTGGCATCTCCGTACATATCTTGCGTCGGTTGTATTGCCGCCGCTGTGGGTCACACTAGATCGAAATCCCGTGGTCATCCCACGTCAGTTATTCCTAAGGCTTTAATCCTGATTTGTCCTATCCTCTACTACCTGGTTCCACATACCTTCTTTCCCAGAAGCCGTTTATCTTCGGATCTTGATGTATACCCCTGATTACATACCTTGTTTACTTGGCCCGAAGTAATCATGTCTGGATCAGGTATAATGATACCCAAATCAGGTGCCTATAATTAGATTCTTCCAGATTGGGCCAGTCAATTGATCTGAGTCCGTCGTGCTTTCTCAGATCTGGATCCACGGTAGTCACGGCAGATCCAGGCATATATGTCACTTCACTTGACCCGATCCCTTCCCGTCTGTAATTTAAAAAATAATCTAAGATCCAAAAAAGCACTGAAGAGATCTAGCGGGAGAAGTCGCGCTGTGAGCTTCTGCGGGTGAATCTCGCCGGGGCTGTCAAGCGCGAGAAGGAATATCGCGACGAGAGCGAAGAACTGAGTTCGTTCCTTGTTCTCGATCTGGATCATACCATCTCGCTAACTCCTTTCATCTGCCATAGAACGCGACGTCAATGCGGTCTGGACCGCGAACGCGGATCGCTCGATCACAGAGCAAACGGCCAAGATCCTGGCTCTATATCGCCAACTGGCCAATCTCAAGCAGGAGCTCACGGATCTGCGACGTGAATTGCGCACGGCACTGGAGATGTTATCTGCCGTGGCCGCCGGGATGGGATCGAGCCCTCCTACCACCAAATTCTGCCTTGATACAGATTCGGCCAACGGTCAGGCTGAGAGTTCTCCTGATGAACCAGAGAAGCCGGATCCAGAGAAGTCGGACCCAGATCACCCGGATCAAGAGAAGTCTGATCAAGATCTTGATTACACGCCTCCGCCCAACGGTTCCGATGGATCTTCTTCCAGTGATAAACGTCAAGATCTTCTACCGGGTAAGCGGTCCCGTGCTTATTCTCGTTCCCAGGACGCGGATCCTTCTTCCAAGTGCAAGCCCCCAATGACTGAAGATTACAAGAGCGGTTTGAATTGCGGGGAAGGTCCGGCCAACTACGACATGGGTGGAGGCTCTGACATCGCTCCCAACTGGGACCACCGGTTCCTGAGTGGATCTAGGATCTCAACCGGGTATCATATAGAAGGGAATTTCACCTCGGATCCGATCTCTTACGGTATTGATCGCGAAGGTGAGGCGTTCGGCATTATCATCCCAATCTCGTTGATCCAGATCCTGTACATACATCTTAAGAGCCCCCGTGGTCATCTGGGCCATACGTGCTGCAGATCCATTAGCTTGGGGTCGCTAAGCCATAGTGACACGTTTGCGTTGACCCAGGATCTTGTTGAACGACTTAAAGAAGTCAGACACAAAACCTGGCTATTGATCATGCCGGATCACCTCACTGGCACCAAATCTGCAGAAAACGCATTATTCGTAAGTCTCAGCGATCGTTTGTGCAGATCAACAGGTGCTAGCCTTGGCGATCACATATCCAGAGAATAGATCCACGAAGATTAGCAGTTCGGTGTTGTCATTGAAGGATCTAGGCAGCGAAGGTACGTGAACCATGGCAATGACCAGGAATGGATATGTTGCCTGAAGGTTACCAGGTGACTAACCCTGGATCTGAGGTTGTCCTTTACCCGTTTCACAATCAACACACTCTCCAACATATCGCGGTACGCTCTTATACAGCCCTCTCCAATGGAAGTGATCGCGGATCCGATCATAGGTCCGACCAATTCCTTGATGGCCACCGTGCAAGCTCGTGTGGTAGTGATGGAAAATGCCCTGTGGATATGTTGCCTGAAGGTTACCAGGTGACTAACCCTGGATCTGAGGTTGTCCTTTACCCGTTTCACAATCAACACACTCTCCAACATATCGCGGTACGCTCTTATACAGCCCTCTCCAATGGAAGTGATCGCGGATCCGATCATAGGTCCGACCAATTCCTTGATGGCCACCGTGCAAGCTCGTGTGGTAGTGATGGAAAATGCCCTGTTGAAACGTCTCAGGCACCTCCAATCGCATCAACTTGTCGCGATCCACGGCGGTCTCCTTAGTCGTCGGGCAGTAGAAGAGTAGATCTGACTGATCCACTTCATAGTTCATGCCAATAGCTCCAAACACCTTAGCATCTTCTTGTGTCAGATCTCGAAACCCCCCAACCAACTACTTCTTCAATCCTGAGATCCACGACTCCTCATCTTGTGCTTGCCGGATCCGCTCGATCCGCAATTCTCTCACAACTTCCTCGCGCAATGAATCTGGATCAGACCCAACACACGCTCCAGATCTAGCATTAGATCGGGTCGTTACAGCAGGTATCTGGGCAATCTCGTCTTCGGTCTTCACTATCAGGATCTCATCCAACCGGTTCAAGATTACTAGATCCTGGATCTCCTTCTCAGACTTGACCTCGATCCCACATTGCCGTTGTAGAGCAGCACTTGCTAAATTGTCAGCACTCGCATTCCAATGTCGCTGAACATGTAACAGCTCGTGATCCGGCCAAGTATGTAGTCGATCAAAAGCCCGCTGGCGTAGCAGTGTCGAGCCCGGTGCTTACAATCGATCTCACCTCGTACTTGTCGGATCACCAGGTTCGAGCCTCCGTAGATCCCTAGACGTCGTGGACCCAGATCTTCCAGCAGATCCAAACATAACAACAATCCATGACATTCTGCTTCGTTCACTGTTAGCCCCGCAGCGTAGCCAGATCTAGCCTTTAACACTCTCCATTCAGGCAATTTCCACAAGATCGCGCTGTAGGCGCCTCCACCTCTCTTGACACGAGCAGATCCATCAAAACTAACGGCGTATAGATCCTCATCGAGTCTAACCGCGGGTATCGGAGCCTGAATCTTGCGTCTTGGCTCTTTTCTAGGGGCAATCGAGATTAACGCCTAATCCACCTGTGATCTAGGCGTGATACTCGTCGCCAATGCTCCCAGGATTTTCATCTTCACCCTTGACGCACTTGGTGATTTCAGAGTTCATGGCGACAGTAGAACAGCCCACTGACCTAACCGTCCCTACAAGGCTGTGGATGTGAAGAGCTACGCCAAAGTAGAATGTCGGACGTCCGACCGGTGCATTGTAGTTAAGCTCGAGGATCCTTAGTAGGGCTAATACATCCTTCTCCGGGATGCCGTAATTCAGCTCATTCGACTTCAAAGTACGACTCGCAAACATCACGGGGTGGTAGATCTTGTCGTACTCCTGCATCAATGATCCTTAACCCCTCTATCCCCGCTTCCTGTATTCTACAGGGTAAGCACTTTCCTTATCCGGTATAATACAGGATAAGAAATCAGCCCATACGATAATCAAATGAATCAATACAAACTTCAAGTGATTTGCACCGAAGCCAAGATGGGAAACCTTGTCGCTAACCTCGGGGGGGTATAATTCGTGGTTGAGGATTTTTCGAGATTTAGTGCGCGCGCAGATTTCGCGCCATTTGCGAATCGGACGGACGGAGAACAAGTCAAGCGAAGGAAGCTCACAATGCCAAAGAGGAAGCACATTAGGCCACTGACCTGGCCGCAGCTGTGGACAAAACTCAAGAAGCTAGGGTGGCGGTTTGAGCGCCCGAAAGGACTTTCGACTGAAAATCGTTTCTTCACAGCTGAAGGATGGACAAA